GTAAATTTGTAAATCGTTCGTGGCGTATCGGATTCATGTGGATTTTGTTTGCTCTATTTTTCTGCATTTTGGGAACCCTAAGTCGAATTATTGTTACTTCAGAATGAAATGTTTTGAAAAATTATGGTTGGGCCGTACTCGAAGAATGTATGTGTCTATCTGTATATATGAACGCATATATCTAACTACTACTTGAATTATTTAAATATAACTGCAAGTGATCTACTTTTATACAATATATAAGGTTGTTCAATGGTGATGCTAAGTGCCCCCCTACTTTTTCATAACTGAAAATATTTTTAGATTCCAGTTTAGATAGAATATTGTATTTAGTAGTTCTATGGTTATTTGAGTTGCTGTTTGTTTATCAATTTTTTGCTATTCTGCTCAAGCTTAACAGTGCAATGCTTTCATTTTTTGAGGTTGCTCTGCTCGAAAGTTAAGAGATAAGAGGAAACTTTGTAATTTGCAATCGGTTTCTTTGTGAAGCTTCGGGATTCAGTTTCCATACCCTTTGTGGACCATTACATCCTCAATCATTGAGACATATTGATTTCGTTGCCTCTTATTTACTTATCCTATGAATATGGCGGGAGCACTGCTGCCTTGATGCCTGTAACCCCACCTTATGTTGGTTTTGCAAAGAAAGGGGATTCTAGCTCATCTCTAAAGCACTCAGCAAACATTTATGAACTTTTACAAACAGAAACTGTGAAGTGGATGATAGAGAATACCATCATTGCAGTGAAATGAAGAATCTTTGTTGTGAAATCTTGGCAATGTTGAGTTTTTATTTTTTTATCCATTTGTGATGAAATATTCTCCTCCTTTAAATCTGAAAAGCAACAAAAATTTCTTCTGGTGGTTGAATGTGATTGCTTATAGTGGATAGTACAAAATTTTCAACACATCTTTTTCTTGTTTCCTTTTAGGGAGCACAAAATTCAGCAATACAACCTGGTTGGGCCTCTAAATGGTTGGAGAGATGACATCACTTCGTGCATCTGGATATGTTGATCCTGGTTGGGAGCATGGTGTTGCTCAAGATGACAAGAAAAAGAAAGTCAGATGTAATTACTGTGGGAAGGTAGTCAGTGGTGGGATATATAGATTGAAGCAACATTTAGCTCGGCTCTCTGGTGAAGTCACCTATTGTGACAAGGCTCCAGAGGAGGTCCGCTTCAAGATGAGAGAAAATCTAGAAGGGTGTCGTTTCAGTAAGAAACTTAGACGTGTTGAATATGATGAACAAACATATTTGAATTTCCATGTTAGTGATGATGCAGAAGAAGAGGATCAGATAGGATACAAGAATAAAGGAAAGCAATTGGCTAATGACAAGGGTTTGGTTATAAATTTGACTCCTCTCAGGTCACTAGGATACGTTGATCCTGGGTGGGAACACGGTGTTCCTCAGGATGAGAGGAAAAAGAAGGTAAAATGCAATTATTGCGAAAAAATAGTCAGTGGTGGTATAAACCGTTTCAAACAACATCTAGCAAGAATACCAGGGGAAGTTGCACCTTGTAAAAATGCACCTGAAGAAGTATATCTTAGGATAAAAGAAAATATGAAATGGCACCGCACAGGAAGAAGGCATAGGCGACCTCACACTAAAGAGCTATCAGCCTTCTATGTTAACTCAGATAATGAAGACGAAGATGAAGATGAAGATCACGAAGAAGAGGCAGTACATCACATGAGCAATGAGAAGCTTTTAATTGGAGATAAAAGAATCAACAGAGATTCGGGGAGGCTTTTTAAAGGGACATCTTGTAGTAGTGTGTCTGAACCATTACTAAAAAGATCAAAGATTGACACATTTGGAGCAAGGACACCAAAGACACCAATTCAAGCTCCTGGAAAAAAAGTAAAAACAGGTTCTAACAAAAAATCCCGCAAGGAGGTCATGTCTGCAATTTGTAAGTTCTTCTATCATGCTGGAGTTCCTCCTCATGCAGCAAACTCTCCCTATTTCCATAAAATGCTGGAGTTGGTTGGTCAGTATGGACAGGATTTGGTAGGTCCTTCAAGCCAAGTGCTATCTGGAAGGTTTCTACAGGATGAAATTTTGACAATTAAGAATCATCTTGCTGAGTATAAATCTTCCTGGGCAGTCACAGGTTGCTCTATTTTGGCTGATAGTTGGCAAGATACACAGGATAGGACATTAATCAATATTTTGGTTTCTTGTCCTCACGGTATGTACTTTGTTTGTTCTGTTGATGCCACTGATGTTGTTGAGGATTCAACATATCTATTTAAGCTTCTTGATGGAGTGGTGGAAGATATGGGTGAGGAAAATGTTGTGCAGGTAACTTACCGTATAATCGAAATCTATAAACCTTTTGTTTAGTTATCTTTATTCTTATGATAAGCTAACTCTGCACCATACGCCTTCACCCCCAACACACACACATTAAAAAAAAAAACCAATAATAACTTGTCCATGCAGGTGATCACTCAGAATACACCAAGCTATCAAGCTGCAGGGAAGATGCTTGAAGAAAAAAGAAGTAATTTGTTTTGGACTCCTTGTGCTTCATATTGTATTGATAGAATGCTTGAAGACTTTTTGAAGATAAAATGGGTTGGTGAATGCATGGAAAAAGGACAGAAGATCACAAAATTCATTTACAACCGGTTCTGGTTGTTAAATCTTATGAAAAAGGAATTTACAGTGGGACAGGAACTTCTGAAACCCTCTTTCACCCAATTTTCTTCAAGTTTTACTACCGTCCAGAGTTTGCTGGATCAGAGGAATTGTCTTAAGAAAATGTTTCAATCAAACAAATGGCTTTCATCTAGGTATTCAAAATCAGATGAGGGTAAAGAGGTTGAAAAAATTGTTCTGAATGCAGCATTTTGGAGGAAGATGCAGTATGTGAGGAAATCAGTTGACCCTATCTTGGAAGTGCTTCACAATATCAATAGCAATGATAGCCATACAGTACCCTTTATCTACAATGACATGTACCGAGCAAAACTTGAAATCAAAGCTAATCACAATGATGACATGCGTAAATACCAACTCTTTTGGGATGTGATAGACAGTCACTGGAATTTATTATCTCACCACCCTCTCTACCTGGGTGCTTACTTTTTGAATCCTTCATACCGGTATCGCCCTGATTTTATTCCGGTAGGAGAGGATGTTTTCTTTAAAGTTAAATTTAATTCAAAATGGTTTAACTTACAGTTATATCTATTTTCAAACACGTGTGCATAATTGTAGCATCCAGAGGTTATACGTGGACTGAATGCTTGCATTGTTCAACTGGAACCAGACAACCACCGAAGAATTTCTGCATCCATGCAGGTGAGAGTTTCTGTATCAAGCTTATTTTTGCTGCAGATGACTGATCTCGACTCTTCTGCCGTCTTTTGCTTGCTACTAAAAATATCTCCATCTAATATTCAGATATCTGATTTTAACTCTGCTAAAGCTGATTTTGGGACGGATTTGGCAATTAGTACCAGAATGGAACTTAATCCAGGTAATACTATGATTATATCTTTTGAAAATTGTATGCGCACTTCCATATGTGGAGTGAATATATGAAAATTATCCTTTTCTTCTGATTTTGTATGAAATTTGAAGTTGCACTGAAATAATTTCCTGTAGCTGCATGGTGGCAACAGCATGGGATAAATTGTTTAGAGCTGCAGCGTATAGCTGTACGAATACTTAGTCAAACTTGCTCATCTTTTGGGTGTGAGCATAACTGGAGTATTTATGATCAAGTGCACAGTCAAAGGCATAACTATTTGGCGCAGAAAAGATTGAATGATGTTATCTATGTTCATTATAACCTGCGACTTAGGGAACGACAGAGGAGGAAGATGTCCAGTGATCCAATTATCCTTGATAGTGTGCTGCAAGAGAGTCTGTTATATGACTGGATTGTAGAGTCAGAGAAACAAGTCCTACAAGAAGATGAGGTACTCAATAGTCACACCATACCCTAAGCAATTGAATTGGTTGACAGTTTCCCCCCAATGTTGCTATAATATTTCCTTCTATTTATGTCATCATAATGATTCTTCAATCTAAACTTCTCTTGGCAGTATATATGATCAAAATCTTATTTCTAATGCAGGAAGTTCTGTATAGTGAAATGGATCTCGGTGAATATGATAATGATTTCATGGAGCATGATGGTGGAAACGGGGAATGTAGCAGGGGGTCAATGGAAATGGTGACTCTAGCTGGCATTGCCGGACCTCTGGAAGTTAATCCTGGGAGAGCAAGTGATGATGATGACGAAGACGATGCTGATCTCAATTTTCTAGATGATGATATAAGCGAGTAGTATCTACCCTTTCAACTGACATCATGAGATCGGTATCCAGCTTCCAACTCAAACCCAAACAGGAATGATTTGGTAGTTGAATTCGTTTGGTAACACCCTTGTCTAGAAAGTCTTACTTTGCCTACCCAATGAAGTCCAATAGAAGAGAGAAGAAACCGGCAAGCTGAAGCTCACATTTAGAAGGCCAATTTTGGACTATACCTATTTAGAGAGCCTTGTTTTCAGTCACCTGAAGGGGGCAACGTGCAAAGCTCCTGGAAATACCATGAGTGCATGCATGAGAGTTTTTGTTGGAGATGTGGCCTGTATGCAAGGGAGATGATTACCTTTAAAAAATTTAAATTGCATGAAAGAAAGAAGAAAGAAAGCTTGTAGAAGAAGAATACGAGGTATGCTCCCTGGTTTTGTTGTTGTAATAACCTTGTGAATTCAACTCTTCCAAGCTTTGAAGAATAACGAGGCTGCTGGCGTTGACATGCTTATGCTGTCATTACTTTTGCTTACAATGCAACCCCAGTTCACCATAAATAGTGTAATTAATGGGCTTTTGGGGCCCAATTTTTTTTTATTTTTTTTTTTCATTTTTCTGGGGAAAGATTATTTGCTCCTTTTTTTTTTTTTTTTTTCTTGGTACTTATCAGGATGTTCGCGGCCATAAACAAAATCAGTTAACAATGATAACTAAAATTTTCAGAGTATAATGACAACTCTATAGAACTCAATATTGTTAACAGACACTGCCAGACTTGAAGCAATCACAATTAGTTCTTCCAAACTCGAGTAATTTGGCTTTTCTATTTTAATACAGTTCACCTGAATTGGCTTCCAATGTATGGTGCCTGAGATTTCTCCATCCATGAGCCTACTCAACGACAGAAGCTGATCAAAATGCACAACGTGGAGAATATATATATTTCCAATGAGTGATCCATGGGGTATCCCTTTTCCCGATCATTGTCGTATGAAAATAACTCACTTCATATGGCAACTGCCCCTTCCTCTCAAGTCAATACACTTGCCTTTCATATGGTGGTTCTGTCAAGGTCCAGTTATGAATTCCTGAGACAAGATAATTTATGTAAACCTTACTCAGTTTGTTGTTTTCATGATAACACATATTTATTAATTAGAAGTAAAAATACAGGTATACACAAATCACAACTCCATAGATCAGTGAATTTAGGCATGTAATAAGCCACCTATTATTAAGAAACAACTAGTGAAATCTTTTGATGTAATAGACCGATGTATCTTGTTGCTAAAACATCCGGGAACAAAAGATCTGTCTATTGCTAAAGGTGGTAGTTCAAGGAAAATTAGAGAACAAGCATAGCTGACAGAAAAGTATAATAAAATAAATGCGCCCTATTTGGTAACATAGTTAGTTTATCGGCCAATTTTGGCTTATTTAAACACTATTAGCTATTTGACTTAGTTAAACATTCAATATAAGTATTTGATTAGTTAGCTTTTTGTAACAACTTATTGTTTTACAATGCTAAAATTCAAAAAGCTGCTCAAAGTAGTTTTTTCGATAAGCTTTTTGAGAAAGTCACGTAATATCAGCTAACAGCTAATTTACCAAACATCTATCTACAATCAGCTAATGCTATCAACTATTCAAACCCACTAACCCAATCAGCTAAAAGCTATTTACCAAACATCCCCAATCTTATTTTATTTTTTTAAACAAAGTTAAAAGTCCACTGGTTAGATTCCCTATGCATTACCAAGATTAGTAGGGATGACCACATGAATCCCATAAAAACCTTATAATTGGATAAATGCAGTTCATACCTTCATTTGCTGAAAGGGAAAATCATCCACTGCATTAGAAAAAAGGAGCGAAACATAGAGCAGATTGCTAGCCAACTTTGGCCTCTCCATTCACCAGTGCACCTTCACTTTTACTTGAGAGGTTGACAACTGATTTATCACTTCCTTTCATTGCCTTGTCTTTGTCAGTATTTTGCCCATCCTTCACAGGGCTGACCAATTTCTTGGGTGGCTTTTTATTTTCTAATGTGGAATTCTTATCCTTTGCTGGATTAGCATTCGCCATTTCTAAATCATCCTTCGGCGCACTTGACTTAGTTTTACTTTTCTCAAGAGATTTCTGTGAAACAGAAGTGTCCTTTGCAAGGCTAACAGCTTGTTGCTTGGGTTTCTCTGGGTCAGGATTGGGCAACAAGGCACGACGGCTTAACCTAAGTTGTCCTTTGTCATTGATCTGTTATGGAAATTGCAAGTTAACATCAAATTCTGAAAATTTATGAGGTCTAGGAAACCAAAACTAGAAGTTATTCAAGCATTCATAAATACAACTGCAACCTCAATAAGTTTGACGTCAACACGGTCTCCTACTTTAACCACCTGAAACAGTGAAGAAATAGATCACCTACTTGTACAACTGTGTGTTTAAATTGCAAAACAACCTAGGTCAGAGAGGACTTACATCTTCCGCTTTAGCCAGCCAACTTTCACTCAACTCACTAATATGGCATAGTCCCTTACATTAAAAAAGTGTAGATGAGCAATTTCCAGAGTACAGAAGAAGAGATCCACCAAGTTTGTCTTGTAAGATCTAATCCTAAAATGCATAGCGGTACATACCTCTCGTCCAGGGGAAATCTCTATGAAAACTCCATAAGGAGCAATTGACTTTATCTCACAGTTCCTGGTTGAGGCAAGACAGAAGAATACCAAAAAGAAAAGGGGGAAAAAAGCACACAAATCAGTAGATTGAACTAGTACTCCCTCCCATCCCATTTTATCTGTATTAGTTTGATATTAAGTGTATTGTTAAATAATTAAAAGTAGACTAAAGATAAGTATCATGGGACCCATAAGCATTTAAAGTGTTAATTATGATACTCTAAAATTAATGATTAGATTTAGGGAAGAAGTTTCTGCTTTTAAAAATTGCACAAGTATAAAAGGCAAGTAGGAAAATAATTTCTGGCAGAGAGGGTTTTTAATTAAGAAACTGTGGCACCAGAAAATTGCATTAAAAAAAAAAGTTTATAAAAGGCACAGATTAAAGCTGCATTGGCTCTCTTTTAACAGCCAAACAAGTATTCTTTGGCCCTGTGAATAAATCTGTATACACTAAGGATCGCCAAGAAACCAAGAATACCTGTATATGTCACCAACAGTTGGAACAATTATGAGATTACTAATAATAGCTTTGGCCTTTTCCAGAGTTGTCAAATCCTTTGCAGTTATCTTCACCTGCAAATAGGCAGATGTGAGACTCATAAGCTTGTAGTATTGATCTTCCAGCGGGAAGCAGAAACTTTAAAATGAGATATTTATCTTGCTTACAACTCCATCTTGTGTCTCAATAGCGTCAACCCCTGTTTCTTCGATAATGCTCTTCACTCTTTTCCCACCAGAACCAATAATGAGGTTAATTTTCTCGGGTTTGACCTATGGAATCAATAAATTAGGGAGAGGGAAATAAATGACAAGATCATCATACTAAAAAAATATTGATCAAGACCAAACCTTCATCACATGAATTATTGGAGCGTATTTTGAGAGCATTTTTGAAGGAGGTGGTGAGCATTTTAACATCTCAGCTGATGAATATAAAATAGAGGAGCGAGTAAGCAACTGTACAGTGGAAAGGTTCAAGTAACATGGAGATTGAATGAAAGAGGAAAACACATGTACATGATATAACACCATAGCCATTGCTGCCTTGAAACTAGTAAGCATCTAACAAATTCTAGACTATTCAGTGACAGTAATGAATATAAGTTTTGCAGAAAGAATATAAGACTACTAGTAAGTCATTACTTTTGAACCATCAAGTTAAAATATAAAGGAAATCTTAAACCAAATTAACTTATAACATCCAGTGAGTTTAGGCACACAAGGAATTCTAAAACAAGTCAGGAGCTTATCTTTAAACATCCAAAACCCTTTCCCCTTTGTAGATTAAGTTATTAATGGTGACAAAGAAAGCACCATTTGTTTCCATTGATCAAAATTTCAATCTATTCATGTCAAGAGAAATGTTAGGAAGCACTCATACTACATGAGGTGAAAGTTACCAAGCAGTTTTTTCCGACCGTCTTTTGCTTGTAAGAGAGCCTGCTCCATGATTGGTAACGTAATTCCTACCACCTTTCATGACATGAGAAATGAGTTAAAGAGGTGAAAAGGTCTAGCCAATCACAAAGTAGCTGCTAGAGAAAAATAAGATCTTTCAACCTCTATCAAATAAACCCAAGTTCATCTGAGCTAAACAAATGTGCTAATCAGTTTCAGATGATCAAAGAGTAGAATAAATAGAATGGCTACCTTTATATCCATTTGGAATGCAGTGATGCCATCAGCATTTCCAGCAACCTGCGGAACCAAAATTGTTATTTATTTTATATAGCTTTCAGTTCTACAATTTAAAATCATAGAAATCAAATGTATGTGCTATATATTGCATGAATATACAGGAACAAATTTGTTTTGAATGTTTTGCACGTTATGTCACAACTGATAATGATGATTCAACTGAGTTCAAATGCTAACAAAGAAAAAGAAAAAAATTGAGTAGAGAGCTATCTGCAACTTCTGAAAACTTCAACCATATGATCTCATCAAAGGTAACTAGTCCTTAGCACAGTCCATTGCAAAAAAAAGCATTATGTACCCAGCACAGCCCTTAATGAAAGGAAATTTTGTTATAAACAATTTCTAAGTCAATAATTAGTCCGACACAAACATATATGCTGCCAAGAAATGTCCAGCCGCTATGGCTTGCACCTATTCATATAGGGCCCTGTAGCCAGTGCAATCTCACGGGTACAAAAGATTAGATCTCAAGGGTAATCTCACTACTGGATTTGATTGATGGAGCAATAGACACATTTAAGGTATAATGCAGCAATCCATTGCACCCAGATGGGCAAGTTATTCATTACTGTTACCTGAAACAATAATATAAGAATCCACAAAAATATGCAGAAGTTCAAAGAAAGAATGACTGTAGTCCAATAAATATATCCCCATCAATTCACACTAGTGCCAATTTTGTTCAATTAATAATTATTATAAAAAATGCATTATTTGCTCCCCTGAATAGAAAGCGCAGGCAAGCAGATCATGGTGTTACAAATATTGCAATTGCAACAGATCGGCACATATTACTTGGCATCAATGTCTGTACAGTTATGCTGACTCTTATACAGAGCTAAGGGAAGTGATCCATATGAAAGATTCAAGGTCCTATGTGATTGCAATTACCCATAAGGCCATAAATCTTTGGAACATAAGTGCTCAAAGCATTTAACCATTTTGTCCAAGTGACACAAACAAACATAAGCATAGGTAGATACAAGATATTCCATAAATAGCACCTTAAAATCCATATCGCCTGATGCATCCTCTGATCCAGTGATGTCTGAGAGAATTAGTGGAGTTCCATCTCCCCCAAATTCTTTAGTGTCCAAAACCATACCCATGGCTATACCAGCAATAGAGTACTTTACAGGAACACCAGCATCCTGCAGTGCTAAGCAACCCCCACACACAGATGCCATACTGTCACATAGAAATAATAGATGGTTACATGAAGACAAGAACATGAATTCAAGAATAGGCTTTTAAGATCTACTCTCCCCACAGCAGGAAATTAGTCATTGAATATGATCAAGACAATATAATAAACATGTTTATATATGTATATATATATATATACACACACACACACACACACACACACACACACACAACACATCATTAAGTAAAGTCTGCAAAAAACTCTACCTTGACGAGCCATTGCTTTCAGTTATAGTACTCTCAACACGTACTGTATAAGGAAAATCATCGTCAGAAGGCAATATAGGCTCTAATGCTCTCTCTGCCAGCATTCCATGACCAATCTCCCTCCTAGATGGTGCTCCCACCCGTCCAACTTCACCAACACATGAAGGCGGAAACGAGTACTAGATAACATCCAAGGAAGAAAAGTGTTTTACTTAGAAACGCTATTCAAAGAACATGATTTGATCAGAAAAGATCTGGGGGAGGAAAAAGGAAGACATTCAGAGATCTAATAAGAAACTAACAGCAACATCAATGAGGTCCAACAAAAAGCAGAGGGAACAAGATAAGAAAGCAGTTATGGACCAAAAAACTTTTGCAATAATCTCCTGGTATTGGAATATTCAAATAAAATGGAGGAATGAATATATAACTTAAAAAGATAAAATAAAATGGAAAACCTAAAAAAAAAAAAAAAAAGGTGAAGATCTGTCTGGAAGCTTTCTAGTTGTTACTTCTATATATGGTGATGGATATGCAGCAACTCAAAGAAAGTGAAAGACAAAGGAACTGGCAAGGATTGAGGCCATAAATTTGACTTCGAGTACTATTTAAGCATAAACTAGAACTAAAAAAACATCCTGAAGAACACAGATTCAGAACAGTGAAACTCAAACATTAGTTGCAAAATCATGCAACACTTTGGTGATTTAATCATCTAATACTTGTCAAACAAAAATAGGTATCTAATTGCACAAACAACTGAACAAGCATCAGAATAAAAAGCATACACATTTGTAAAAATGATACCTGGAGATAGAATCTCTTATATTCATCTTCATCAACAAGGTTGTCAATTTTTTGTGCCATTTGTTTGTCACCAAGTGTAACCACTGCTAAGGACTGAAACCAAAGGCAGTGAAAATAATTGGAAGAAAAAATTGAAAAATAAGGCAAGATAATATGATTTTTCCAAAGGAATGACTCAAATTAACCACTTGATGGTCAACAGATGAGATCCTCACTTTTCTATCAGCAACTTATCAATGAGAAATGCTTTGTCCATCATGTAAATCAAACAACCACCACCAACCGAATATATTGCAACACTAAAGAAACATTAGAATTAAGTTATCCAAGATGCTGAGTTATCACATTTGAGGTGTAGACAATGTAGTTAGATTCAATACAGACCCAACTCCCAACAGATGATTTTAAAGAAATGCAACAAGAATATAATTATCGTTATGAAAGAATGCCACTAAAAACCAAACTGAACTGAAAATTGAAATGCAAAAACCGCATTTTACACTTTTTGAGAATTATAGGATTAAATTGATTGAACAATTAATAAATTCTTAACTTCATAATTGAATACATTGTAATACACATTATATATTATTTGTATACACATTTTTATGTACATATATCCACTAGTAGATGAGTATATTTATGTATACACATATATAGCCCATGTTGTGAGTGTTACACCTTTGAGCATCATATTACAGTACTAAATTGATTAGCAGTTAGCATATAAATCCTGTTAGAAAACTAAAGACATTTGTACATTTCACACATCTAAGAAACATAGCAGACAGCCAGATAGCAGATGCAAGACAAATTTGATACAAATTGTTGAGAACTTGAGACCAAACAAATATCCACCTGTGTTTCTCCTCGGGTAAAAAGAGCACTTCCATGTGCTCTAGGAAGTATTCCACAGCACGAATTGATTGGCCGTAACTCCTGAGGAGTTCTTCCATCACTTCTCTTCCCACCCTGTACACCAAACAAATAAACACATCAGAATACAATACATTTGTTTAAAAAACATTGATTCCAGTATGATTCCAATTGATCGAATTAGACCAATGAACAGGAATCTGAGAGCCCTAGGAAGCATAAGGAAACAACTTTAAAAGCATCTCTCATCACTAATTGATAATGAATTCTAAAGTTTTGATAGTTCTATCTGCAATCTGCATAATTAACATATGGATCTATTAGGCAAAGGATATGCAAGATATATGAGTTATGATAAATGGAAAAAAAATATGAGCATCCACACATAGGCAAAAAGGAGCCATCTGAGTACCAAGATTACAACATAAGCAAATTTACTGTCTAGACATTGACTATTAATTGATGACTAGACATTGACTGTTATTTGAAGGCTATGCAAATGTGTCTACAATCAATCATTACATCTGCAAGAGTCAGTCAAGCTAGCCTGTACAAATTTTAAGCTTGTCCCTTTGCCCAAAATAATTGTCAGAAGGCTATGCAAATGTGTCTACAATCAATCATTACATCTGCAAGATTCAGTCAAGCTAGCCTGTACAAATTTTAAGCTTGTCCCTTTGCCCAAAATAATTGTCAGTACTAAAACTTAAAAAACTACTCATATTTATTTTACACAACACAGTAAGAGGTAGAATAATTTGGTCCTTTTCTTTATGGAAATTATATTAATTGCATCTCAAAGAGTATAATGATTAATAGAGAAGGAACATTTCAGTATCAAGTCTAAAACTATTCACTTTCCCTCAACAGAGATAATATATAAAGATAGGTCATATATTCTTTTTCTTTTTTACACTTCAGCATTAAATAAACCAAATGAGTAAAATCTTGTGATTCTCAAAACCCCAATTGGAGAAAAAGAAGACTTTCCATTCTAGAAACAGTCACTTCACAGAATCAGTATAAAAACAAGGTGTCAAAGTTTTCTTGAAAATCTAATTTGAACAGAGTTTTCTACATGTTTCATGGAAACTTCACCTCCACAATCCGCTTGCGCAAAAATTTGGATGTAACCTCTTTAAATACCAGCTTCACATCAACCTCTGAATATAGCTGAAAATGAAAAATGAAAAATGAAGCACGGCTTTAGGAAATTAATAGGAGAACAGTCATTTATGGATGAAGATGGAACTAACAGGAAAAAAATGCCTAGTAACCTATGTTTTCAATGAGCATATTTATTATTTAAAATGTAATATCAATCACTTAAATTCATATACCATGTCTGCATTCACCCCAAAAATTCATAATGACTTGAACATGGAAAATTTTGTTAAGGTTTCCTTAAGGGTAGTACCTGGGGGATATTAATCAACCAAATAGGATCTTTAAGCAAAAGATTAAAAATCAGGGATTTAAGTATTCCATCTATTCTCAAATGCTTGATATCTGACTTAGTAGAAGACTTGCAAAAGGCAAACTCCCAATGAATTCTTATTAGATTACAACCTCTATTGGTAGTGTAAGGAGAAAATATGTTGCAAACAAAGAAGCATTAAATTAACCTTGGAGGCTGGAGCACCTCACAGAAAATGCATAATAGTTGTTTACAAAAATCTTTTTATATAACAAGGGCCTTTCAGACTAGGTAGATCATCTCCCATCCCCACCTAAGTTCCATATGTATACACAGCCTTATAAAGCATATCACTTTCAGTTGGAAGTGTCTAAAATTTATAATTCACAGTATAAGATTGGTGCAACAAGATGCAGACTGATCTATATTAACAAATGAATATGCTATAGATTGCCTTTGGACACCCTGTTAAACCTGCTAGTTCTGGATTTGGGTTTACACAAATTTACTATAACTGATATTCTCATAAGATTAAAATGCAGATTGTATACATTACAGCATTGAATGTTTTTTGTAGGGCTTAAAAGTATGTTAAGATGAAAACCACATGAAACATTTGATGTTTTTCTTTATTCACAAACTTATTGGTGATATAGAAACTTAGCTGCATATTATGATGTACTTATCACATCAATTATGTTTCTGTTGATGCTAACCAATGTTAAGGCTCTAATACCAAAATGCTGTTCAAGCCTTCAAGGTAAAACTAGAGAATTATCTTACCAAACTCATTTTTAACACACAAGTGAATTAAGAAAGTAGGAAATTAAGAACCAAAAACTCTTGAGTACTACCAAGGGAATAGATTTCCTTCCAACCGGCTTTATGTGAACATCACCTTCATCAACTTCACCATCAACAACAACTTCTTCATCCTCATCTTCATCTTCCAACAAATCTGGTATCAGTTCATTGGATACAAACTCTTCCATCTTGCTAACATAGCCCTTTTCTGAAAGTATACTTTTAACCTTAGACTCCAATAACCCTAATGCCTTCCTTCTAGGAATCTTGTTTTTAATTTGTAGCACTTCCACTAATTCTGTACCAACAATTTCCTGGAGAAACATGTAAACATTTACATAATGAAGGGTATGTCCTGTGACTTGTGAGAACACAAACTAAAGGACCAAGTGAAAGAAAACAAGAACATTAAAGCATAGTTCAAAAGATTAAAGATAAAATAAATAAAATGGCATAAACAGAAAACAAAAAATACTAAACAGTAAAAAAATATAATAACAATTACGGAGTATAATTTTCTCTAAGGGAAAGAAATGACACTATGACAAAAATGTCTAAGATTTAAAATAGACAGAAAAATAAGTTGCACTCTCTGAAAAGAAGAATGGCATGAGTCTCCCTGAGAAGATTTATAACATACTTCAACTAAATTATAGAGTTCGGGAGGAGGTAACTTGATTGCATCAAGCATTTTTGGCTTTCCACAATTCTTCACTAAAGCTTTAACCTCCTTGCATATGGCCTGTACAGCATCCTGAAATGGTGAACATTAAAGAGTTTAGTCAATCATGACCTTCCTGTATATATTGCTTTTAACAGTTGTCAGTTCATATGCAACTACTTTGTATCTACTTGTAGCACAAAAGAGCAATTCCAATAACAAGAACTTTCAAGAGAAATGATAACAGTTCCAGACAAGAAACGCAAAATGAAGAGTATTTCAAGCAACATACCTAAGGAGAATCATAATGGATATCATATAGTGTTAAACTAATGAGCAAGCAATACCAAGAATCTCAAGAAAGAAAACACAGAATGTGGCAAAAATAAGTGAAGTGATACTAAAACAGCTATAAACTTAACATAAACTACCTGTCCCACTTGTACAGCTTCAAGCAACTTTTCCTCAGGAAGGAAATCACAGTATCCCTATAACAATAAAATATTAGAGTCTAGAGTCAAGATAAATGAGTAAGAAACTAAATATATAATAGCATCAACTAGAGAAAGCATATTTGGGCAATCATCGAGCTGCTGATGCATTAACAGCAACTTCATTTCTTAATCATTGCAACGGGCTGTTTCATCAGAAAGATTAGTTTCTACATTTTAGAAGCTACATGTTCAAGGTAGAATGCAAGAGATTCTCAAGGGAATTACAGGAAAGATAAGATGGGTAAAAAAAGTATGCACTGATATAAGTTTCCATGTATTTCTCTGTGAGGTTTATTTCCTCACTCATCGAGCTTGGCCTCGTGGTCAGTCGATTATCACAGAATTCACAACCCTGTGACTAGAAAAATTACCATGCATCTAACATAACTAGGTATCTCTGTAATGCAAACCAACCTCAATCATCAATATTGCATCATCTGTGCCTGCTAGTATCAAATCCAACTTTGACCCCTCCATCTCCTCAGTGGTTGGATTTACAATGAACTTGTCACCAATAAGACCAATTCGGACTCCTGCAATGGCCTTTGAATGTGGTACTTCTGATATGGCCCTGTAGCATTCACAAACTATTTGAGATGAAGTGATTCAACACACAATAAATCTGAAAAGGTAAATCCATTGGGGGCATTAAAGAGAAGTTGCTTACATGGCAATTCCAGCAGCTGTCAATGCCAAAGAATCAGGGGGGTGCAAACCATCATAACTTAATACCTGCAATTCATGGGAGCAATGGTAGTTGAAGATGTCATATAAGGACATAATGTTTGAATAAGATAAACATGTTACGTTACAGATGTAACATGCCTTAAAATTGCAGAAATATGTTCTCTATTAAAAGGAAAAGTGTATACCCAAGAAAGTACTTGAACTTCATGGTAGAATCCCTTAAGCATAGTTGGCCGTAGAGGTCGATCTATCAACCTACAAATGTGAACCTGCAAGAATGAAGTACTTTAAAATAAATAAATAAATAAATCTTACATCTTCTCAAAAATAATAAAAATTTTGGAATGTATTTCAAGCCAATTGATTGCTAATTTTGTTGAGTCTTCGTGGAACAGGTTCATTTAGTGAACTTGTGATTCAACCAGCCAGTGTACTACCTGAATCAGATTGAGTGCTTATTTTGTAGACATGAAGAGTCGCATGTATTTTATAGTGATTTTTTTCCACCCAAAAATTCTTCTTGCAAAAAGAAATATGACAGTAATGAAATATTCTGATGATGGGGAAAACAAACATATGCACAGCAATTTTAAAAAGCATCAATTTCATGTAGTGTAATGACAGATCATAGAATAAGTAAATGAAGTAGTACTGAGCAGAACTATAGGTAGAAGAACTTAAGTGCAACTAAACACTTGCGGATCCAAAGGAACTGTAGCAGTTATTACATATAATATGAAGATAAGACGGGACACTCAGAAACATTCAAAATTAGGAGATTCTGCAAAATGTAGTACCTCGTGATCCTTTGCTCTCCCTTCTCGTTTGAAAAATCCTCCACTGGAAATGGCAGTGTTTGTAACTATAACTTCATATAAAGCCATACATAGGAAAATGGAAATAATAGGAAGTGAGACCTACCTGGTGCGACCAGCTGCCGAAAATCTTTCTTGATATTGAACAGATAGAGGGAAGAAATCAGAAGGCTCGCTCGGATCATCAGCTAAGCATACAGTTGTATAGATAATCTGGAGAACATTTTTTTAAAAGTCTTTCCATGAGAAAATGACTCCAATATTTTTCCCACCGTTCAAAAATACTGAGAGATACACGTAAATAATCTACCAATGCAGTCTATAGGAAAAATCCAGAAGTGCAAAAATATGCTGCAAAAGCATTAACTTCCAACCAGAGTAAATAATTCAAACAAAACCACTAGTAAGTAAATCCAATTGGGAGAAAACTCACAGTTTCCCCATCCGTTACAGTAACTGCGCCACTAGCTTGCCTGCCGACATGACCTGTCTCAACCGTTATCTGCAAGAGGTAACCAAAAAAAAAAAAATCACTATAATATCAGAATTCACGAACCTATCCTGGAACGAAATTGAAAGAAAAGAATACTGACATAACGGTCTCCAACAGGAATCCTGACTGAATAGGGGCGAGGCAAGGAGGCAGGAGAGGCAGAAAACGACGAAGACGACGCTGCGTCCGAAGTAGCTCGAACAGCCAACTGATAACATAGTTTGCCGCTCTTTCTTCTTCTAGTCGGAGCTCTTCTTCTAGCAATGGAGGAAGGTGTGAGTTGCAGAGGAAGGAATCTGTAGCGAGCTGTGGTAGGCGTGAAGTGCAGAGGCCGGCCATGGAAGGTAGGGTTTGCCAACATTTCTTCCACTGAAGGAGAGTGACAGTAGTGAGAGCGTGAGGAATGGAACTTATCCGTTTCGTTACAGTGTCTGGAACGGTGGATAGCAAAGAAATCTGTATCGTGTTTATATATAGTCGCTAAAAGGCCGCCAGTTCAAGTGAGGCGCGACGAAAACCTTTTCTCCATCACTCCATTGCCCGCTATAATATCTGGATGTTCTAGGCTTCTAGTCCTAGCCAAGTTTAACTAGATACTTAACCGTTTAACTTTGATGCTATTTTTAAGAGATTTTTATAATAGTGATTAGGAAATAAAATATGGGAGGGAGGTTTAAAAAAAAAAAAAAAAGTGATATTAAAGTTAGAATAGCGACTACTTTGACTCGTCTCAGCGGTGCGAATTGCGTCTAGTTGCTCTTTTTTTCTTTTTTTTTTTCTACCATTCTCTTGATATTTGTAGGAGCATTATTTTTGTTTAAAATTTGTGCTTCCCATCTGTTGAGCTGCATATTACTGTACCAATCTCCCTCTATGGTGCGCTGGTGGTGATGCTCTTAGGCAAGCTTTAAAATGGTAAAATTTAAATTTATTATCCATTGCTATTGAAATCATAATGAAAATCAAATATTTAGTAAGGTACGATAATGATTTTTTGTGGAAGTATTTTGAATGTCTGGTTGTATGATGAAATTGAAATTATTATCAATAATACTAATGTTTGGTTATGCATGACACCGGGATAAAGGTTTTAAAAATGCAAAAGTAAGGAATTAAGACAATTGATCATACCAGGACTATGTGGTCCAATGGTACCCGGGTTGGACTTCCGTTTGGAAGGTTGTGAGTTCGAGCCTCAGTGGAGGCGTTATTAGCTCTTTGTGTTTCAGTAGGTTGAGAAAGTATATGAACAGATACTACAATGTAATAGAGCTAGTAGCATTCAAAAAAAAAAAGACAATTGATCATAATATAATGACATTTAAAACACCAATATGAACAACAAAAATCTAAAAACACTAATCCAAACTTTAAAAGCAAATTACCAATAAAATATAATGATACTTGTTTTTAACTAGGGAATGGGGGGTTTTAATTAAATGTGTAATCAAATCACATATTTGTGTTTTGAAAAGTTGTCAAAAAGAAAAAATCAACCAAACACTAACTATAATTTTGATTCTCATTGATTGTGTGTAACGCCATAAACCAAACACGCCCTTAAATATTAATTATCTCACAAAAATTAACTCGTAGTCCTTCATTTAGGCCTACAGCTAAGGGAAGAAAATTATCAACGACATCACCCAACATTCACCACTAACAATGTTATCCAATTTCCTTTAAAATATTGGAAAAGTCTCATACGCTAGCTAAATTCGTCGTTGCTTTCCTAGCACCACCAGTATTCAGTTTCACCTGCCCTTCATTGTAGGGAGATGGAGGACCAACCAATGCACATGGACCTGCCCCGGGTGATACATAATTCTTTTTGATAATTAACTTATCCACTTCTTTAGCAAGTTTAGTATCTAAAGTAGTCACCTCTTTGGTGATCTTAAGAATGCCAATAAACACCTTATCGTTCCGTGCCTTCAACAACTCTCAAAGAGTATAGGAGAATTTCACCTTCTAAAGAGTCACATCGTTGAGCAGTTATTTACTCAAACAATTGATTTTGGACCAAACCGAAAGCAATATGATTCAGTTAAGACTGAACAAAGTTGGACTAAGGGTCCTCTGCCAACAATCACGAGCCACCTCACAATCTCGGAATAGATGATTCAGGCTCTCCTCCTCTTCGCCACAGACCGGGCAACTGCATTGATAGCTATATTGGATTAATTTATAAATAATTAAAATACATGAATTAAATCAAATAAAACAGGATTTCACAGGTATATAAACCACATTAAAGAAAGTACAAGGGCCATATTGTATTTAAACCAAAAATAGATACCATTTTGTCCCTGATTCCCTCGGCATCGTTCTCCAAAATCCGCAAGTTGGCGCCCTAAATTCTGCCATCCGAGTTGGAGAGAAGCAAATACGCAATGAAACAGCACTCTGCTTGGAACTTTACGAAGACCCCCGTCAAGTTCAAGATGTAATTACTCCTCTCTTCATCTTCTCTAATATTTCTATCATTAATAAAATTTGAATTCCCATCAATTTCAGAACTCGTGTTAAATTTGCGCCTTTATCTTTCACTCATGCACAGTAATGTTAATGCGGTGTAATTTTGAATAACAGTCCGACTGCTGACAATCTAGTTCCAATCCGTCTAGACATTGAAATCGATGGCCAGCGACTTAGAGACGCATTTACATGGAATCCATCTGGTAAATCCTTTTACGTTTCCCAACAATTCGAGAGAAAAACTCTAAAATTGTTGCTGCAATGATTTGAAAGGAGATTTTAGAGGAAATTTCCTAAACGATATGCCTGAATAGCGTAGTTGGAAAGTTATTTGACAGTACGGGGCCATGGGGGCTGTCTGGTCATGGTTGGATCATGTAGAGTTATGATTTGATGCTTTATTTTGAAGGTTCTGTTGATTGATGGGCTGCTTGGTCTACATGATTTAACAAAAGTAATTCTACAGAAGGTTCCCTTTTGAAATAGCTCTATTTAGAAATTTGTTCGCTACTTGTAGGAAAAGATTTCAGCCTGAAATTCATGGGCTGACGCACCTAAATGTTAGCATTTGATGTGTTCCCCTAAATATCATTACTCATTTCTTAGAAAATTCCTGTTGTTTGTTTAATCTATGTTATCACTGAAAGTTGAGTTTGCTTGTGCATGCTTTGAGAGTCTTAAGTTACATACTCAGTTAGTATGGCATCGCACACTAATGAAACGTATTGGGTTCATTAGGTCAGAGTTGCTGGTACATGTGATGATTGACTTCTATTGTGTTACTTTCATAAATTTTAAAGTGTGTGGAAGTGACTGTGATCTTAAGCAGGAACTTTATTTCATCATTTGAGGAATATAACTAAATTAACAGTAAAGCACTTTTGTATGGTTCATATTATGAATTTTCAGTTTTATGCAATTTATTAGCTAAATATCTTCTCCAATTATTACTACAGATCCTGATACAGAGGTGGTGCTATTTGCAAAAAGAACTGTAAAAGACCTGAAACTTCCCCCAGCTTTTGTCACACAGATTGCTCAGTCCATTCAAGTACATATAAGAACTTCAACTTTCTTTGTTTGCATCTCTTGGTTGATTATGTTTTCTTTGTATCCACTGAACACACCATAGGATTTGCTTGAGGGCTATGTGTTCTCAAATGACAAGAAAAGCTAATTGTATAGTGATTTTTACTGACAACAAAGAGAATAAGGATCCATATATTAATACCACAGGAATGATCTTCTTCTTCTTCGTCGTTTTTTTTTTTTTCTGCAAACTCTCTCTCTCTCAGTCTCAAGGAGCTTTGACTTTTGTTTAAGAAGATAAAAAATAAAAATTATTAAAAAGCTTGAAAAAAAGTTAAGATTCATAAATCATAACCACAGGGGTAAAATAAGTATAACAATGAAAGGTATGAGTGGCATCTCAAAAGTCAAAGCTGTCCAAATTTGTAAATGTTCAGTGTTCATTCTATCTTCTAGAGCTTCTAGTAGACTTGTACAGGTATGCTACAAATAGGCTTTTTAGATACCATTGTCTAGTCTTGACTCTTGATGTTGCTGAAATTGCAATGTGCATACTCATTTTTAGATTCACTCACATTAGAATTCTTAGACCTCAAAATAGCTCGCCAAAATTCCACTTTTGATTCATGTTCTCTGTTCTTGTCATTTTGGACTATGCCATTGGTAAAAAAGAAGCACCATGGAACATTATCTTGAATTTTTTTTTTAATCAGTTAATCTATCAGTAGGTGGAAAGAAGAATGCCAATTGTTGAAGCGTTGAACCAAACTTCAAATGCAAGTGGTAGTAGAAAAATTAAGGCATATGGATCTCCTGCTGTATTGACTAGTGATACTTTAGTGCACAGCGAATTTCTATAGAGCTGTGCACCTCCAAAATTCCTTTATTTTCTTCATTTTTACATGTTTCTTCAATCTTCATTTATGATTATGCTTTGTTTTGCATTCAATTTTTCAGTCACAACTGGCAGAGTTTCGATCATATGAGGGACAAGAAATGTTCACTGGAGAAAAAGTTGTTCCTATAAAGGTTGGGAATGATTATCTCCAGATGTGCTTGATGACTTGCTATTTTTCATATTCTACTTTAGTCTGCCACCAGAATTTCTAGTTGTATTTTTGATTGATTAGATCTCGTTGGTTTGTTCAGCTTGATCTTCGAGTTAACCATACTGTGATAAAGGACCAGTTTTTGTGGGTAAGCTTAGTTCAAAATTGGACGTTGGATTCTTCAGTTCTATGATGACAATTGGTATTTTGGATAATTATATATTGTTAAAAATAATTAAACCATAAACTATTCTTCTGTTTTTAACTTTTTATTTAACCACTGATACAAGATGGGTAAAATAATTTCAGGACTTGAATAATTTCGAGAGTGACCCTGAAGAATTTGCAAGAAATTTTTGCAAAGATATGGGAATTGAAGACCCAGAAGTTGGAGTAAATACAATCTAATTATTATATTCACTACTTTATTGATGCAACTTGTAAATGATTTATCTGTTCGTTTAACTTTCACATGTGAAAATTCCCTTAGAAAGACAATTGACTTCTAGTTATATATCCCTTTGGTTTCTTCACTTTCTTGATTCTTTAATTTTTATTTTTTCACTTGAGTTAGAAAATGAAAATGATATCTAACTGGACTTTATCTGATGGCGTTTTATTTATTTATGGAGTCAATTAATTTATCTGCACTTGACATTGGTTGTGACATTTGCTTTATGAATTATTGCTTTGTGTTTGCAGCCTGCAATTTCCATTGCGATCAGAGAACAACTTTATGAAGTATGTGTTTCTGTACACCAACACTCGTCTTTCAGCAGTTATCTAGCAGATTTTTATTTATTTGTTTTTTTTATTGAACTTTTTTAATTTAAAAAAAAAAAAAAGAGGAGCAGGGAAAGAAAAGGGGAAGGAAATTTTGATCTCACCCCACCTTTTTGCCATTTCCTATCAACTCTAGTTCCAGAATGAGTCTATGGCTGTTCTATTAGCTCCACCTCTCACTAGTAGAACAACTAGAATTTTTCTGCTAAATTATAAAAACAAGTAATTACTTTGACCTCTAAACACTGTCTCGGTTCTATGGTACCAGGCTACCAGCCTGAGATTCTATAGCTAGGTCTTCAGGTACAATCTCCTTCCTGTCAGATGTACCACAAAATAAGTACAAATTAAATAAATACCTGTCTTGGTTTGTTATACAATACTAGCAATCTAATAACTTTTTTTTGGAATGCTACAAAAATGAAAGATAAGAACTCATTTCAGGGTCTGTTATTGAAATGGTGTTTGCCTAAAGAATCTTAGAGTAATTTTTGGATGTGCTACAGAGAATTAAGAATGCCTAAAGAATATTGTCTGGAATACATTATTAACATTTTATAGCGTGTCATGTTATAGATTGCTATTCAGAGTGTTGCATCAGCAAGGGAAAGCAGAATGCATAAGAAGGGGCGCAGAGGATTTGAACATTTTTCTGCCAGGTTCTCTTTTGTTTTCTAATTCTCATTTTTCAGTCATGCAATTTTGCGTGGTCTCAAACTTCACCCCCCACCAATAATCAATTTCATACATCTTCATCTTCCCATTCATCCTTTGTTACTTATCAGTAAGGCAGGTGGAGCTGGAGTGGACTTGGTTAAGTTATTTGGCAATAAAACCAGTGTTGTCCGGTAAGATTGCTCACCAACATTCTGTTATTGAATAGGGTGAAAAAGAAATAAAGAAAGAGCAACTTAAGATGAGAATTTGAATTGAAGCTATAATATTGGATTTTTAGCTACTAATCTCTAGCATTACAATTCCAAGAAGTCAATCATATTCGAGTTTATGGAGCAGATATTAGATGGTTATCAGTTTTATATCTTCTTCCAGCAAATCATGCTTGCTTGTTCACTTAGTTTGGTGACCTTACTCATCTATTGCGGCATCTTATTCCAGGAAAAGGAGGGAATGGGATGTATATGAACCTATTGTTGATCTCTTGTCGAATGAGGAAGTGGATGCTCTCGAGGCAAGAGAAGAAAGGAGTGCTCGATAATCTGCAAGATTGTACAAAGTCTGTACATGTGAATCTAGACTACGTATCCAGCATATCTGCCCATCAGGTGGACTTCCTGCCTATCATCTAGCATGATCATTCACCTGCAACAACTCTCAATTACAAACATGTTTTTTCCCCTATAGATATCAACTTTCATGAACCGATGGATGAATAGATTAGCATTTAGGCCTTCCAAGTTCCATCCTCTAAACATTTATATGTGGAATGTGGATCCAAGTTAGTATCTTTAAATTATGTTTGTATGCCTATGCAGAAAGGATTGTAAGTTGTTAGTTGTGTTAGTCATATTTTCTGTTTATTCTTATTCTCAATTTCTAAAATCACCTCTTAATTTTAATTTTGCTAGATTTTTTTTTTATTTTTTTTTACATTATCTGATTAATTTATGCTAGAATTAGTGAAATTTAAAGGTAATCAACTAGTCAATAAAGGTTTTGTTGTTTTTAAACATTATAAATTATTATGTGTTGAACATTGGGGATAAAATTAGATCCCAAGAATAGCATGATACCAAATTAATTGATTGCATAACTAATGCTTTTTACCATCTGAGTTCTGACATAACTATTCTATTACAACAATTACAATAATTTTTATTGCAATTATTACTTTTGTCTCATAATTATAGATTTGAATTGAAATTTTTTTTTTTTTAATATTACAAGGGAATGGAATTTCCAAACTACTAATCCCCTCCCATTAAGGCTTGAATCTATCACGTCTCACTTAGAGGAGCATTCGGATACCATTGGACCACAAGGTCCTTGGTAATTGCAATCTACTCTGAACTCATGATAGCAATTAATTTCATACCATAATTATTAGTTATTAATCATTCCAAAATTTTACTAAGAGAAGTTTGAGTAGCAATGAAAATCATTTTTTTTAAAAGATCAGGTGAAGAAGTAAACTAAAAAAGTATCCTGAGTGCTCCTCATTGTAACTCTCTCTGGCGCTGAGACACTCAAGCACTCCCCTTGTAAGGCTTGAAACACTCACCCTACCTATTGTGCGACACTCCGCCACACCATGCGACATTCTTGCCAAGTTTAATGCAGCCATCCATTGTGCCATAATGTCGTACACTGGCCTCTCACAAGTGAATACTCTCTCCCTGCTCTCTCTAATAGAGGGACCTCGTTTGTCTATGCTTTCAAAAACCTTGAAGATTCCATCTTTCATTTCCATTAACGAAAATAATACTTTAAAACAAATAATAACAACTGCAACTTCAACTAGTAAATCGGTTCTTAATATTTATTTGAGTTTGAGATGGATTTAGATACTTTCAAATATTTATTTGGGTTTGTAACAAATTCAACTAATTTTAAATGTATAAGTTAAATGTTCACAATTTACATTTTACAAAATTGTGAGCATTCATTATGTAAATTGCAGTGTTGAAAAAGACGCGAGGTACTTGCTTTTTTATTTTTTATTTTTTATTTTTTAGGGGTTATTTACCAAAAAAATTAAAAAAAATCAGGATTAGGCGGCCAACTGCGGAGGAGACTGATTTCGGCGTTTATCGACGCCTAGCGCCTAGGCGCGATCTTTGCAACACTGATAAATTGTTAACATTCAATGTTCAAACTGATCACTAAACGCAACCTGAAAATGCAATTAGGTCACTGAATGGAAAAAAAAAAAAAAGTGCAATTAAGCCAATGAATACCTCAAGTGTATGCATTTTCACATGATAACATGTTATCATTCATTTCATCATGATGTTTGCTTACGTGAAAAGTAATTTGGCATTTTTAATAATAAATTTTAAAAATAAAAAATAAAAGAAAAAGAAAAAAAAAACGTCGGGGTGTCGGTCGGCCACCCCTTCCCCGCTAGAGACGAAGGAGGGGGAATGGGGTGGACCTGTCTCACGCCACCCCCTTTCCTCTTTCATTCGTCTCTTGACGGAGAAGGAGGAGGGGGGCGGGGGTCACCCCGATATTTTATTTTATTTTATTTCCTTTTGTATTATAATTTTTATTTTTAAAATTTATTATTAAAAATACCAACTCACCATGTACGTAAGTAGACAACCTGATGAAATGGATGGTAACATACTATCAGGTGAAATTGCATACATTTATGGGCCGTTTGGTTCAGGTCATCTTAGATTACCTAAGTAATCTGAGTCTGGTAATGTTATATTACCTGAAAGCTGATGTGGCGGTAATGTTTCAAGGTAATGTGATTACCCCCATTTTTTTAGATAATCTTAGATTACCTTGAATTATTCCAACTTTGCCCTTGTTAACTGATCCTTATATAATAATATAATAATAATAATAATAATAATACACACATTATATATATATATATATATATATATATATATATATATATATATATATATACATCGTTTGTACGAAATGGTGTGTGCGGTTGATGGCGTGTGTTTAGAGAGTGCATGCGGATGGCGTTTGTTGAATTAGCATTAAGTAAAATAGGTACCGCACTGATTTGAAATTGTTTTATAAGCAATGCGACAAGTGTTTTGATATGACATGTGATTGGAGCTTTTTTTTTTTTTTTTTTTTTTTTTTTTTTTTTTTTTTTTGGATGTGTGTGCTAAACTTGGTTCTATATTTTAATTTGCTGTAAAAACTGAATAAATAGGGATTTGGTGTGTTACATAAGTTTCATATAGCCTGTGCAAGTTAGTTTTATGTCTGTGCGAGAATAGATGCTAGATTTTTATTTGCTGAAATAACAGAATACGTGATAGGGAAGGCGTGTGTTGCTGAATTGTTAATGTGCAACGTTCCAAGTTAGTTTTATGTCTGTGCAAGATTTCGCGATGATTGAGTGAAGCCTTTTCAAGTCAGTTTATTAGCCTGACATAATTAGTGTTTGAAGTTAGTTGTGGAAGATAGTTTTGCAAGTTAGATTGTACTATGTGCAATTCACTTTTAATACGAGTGCAAGTTATGTGCGAGTTATATGTATCACGCGTGTGCAACTTATTATACTGCCTGTGTAAAATGTATGGTATGTTGTGTTTAGCGTTCTCAAGATAGTTTATTTGCGTGTGCACGTTTTTGTTTTAGCCTGTGCAAGTTACTATTTTAGCGTGTGCAAGTTATTGTTTAAGCATGTGCAAGTTACTGTAGAGCCTGTGCATTTTATTTTTAATGACAGTGTAAGAGTGCAAGAGTGCAAGATATGTGCAAATGTATAGACATAATTTTATTATTAAACCACACGAAGAGTCATGAGTTAGTTGATGAAATGATGCTGTGTGATTTAATATGTAAGCGAATATGAATCATATGTTACAGGTGTGTGCGGTGCAGAGCCCAGTGGTGAAAAAGAACCAGAAAAGGATTGCAATATGGATATTAGCCCTGGGGGTATGAAATATTGGTTTACGGAATGCGACCCAAGCTTGAAACCATATGAAAGCCATCATTTTAACACAATGGAAGATGGATATCAATTCTATAAGAAGTATGTCGCAATAACTGAATTTGAATAACTCCCCTAGCCCAATTTGATTCACTGCTTTCCGTTGGCATGCACTTAACCGCTTTAGGTGCGAAACCAGATGCTTTGGCGATGCGCGAGTGTTCAGAGATGGGAATACAACCACACCATCACCACCGGACCCCACTTGCGCCCCACTCAAGGGCGGCTGAACTTGAGCTGGGATGGGCACCACAACGGGGGAAACTAGTGGAGACCCAACATGCACACCATCCAAAACCGGTTGTACCTGAGCAGGGGTAGACACCTCCGCGGGAGGAACGGGTGGAGCTGCTTGGGTAGTAGGAAAACCCACACCAGGAGGTGCTGCAAACAACTCCGAATTGTTCTCTACAAGGAAGACAACCAAACCAGATAAATTTAAAGCCATAAAAAATAATAGATGAAACAAACTCACCACCAATGTAATTCGCACTTGCCATAACAACGAACTACACACCAAAAATACAAAAGAACAACCCTAGACGAACTATTGCACATAGTTCGTAATGTATACTCTTGAACGAAAAACCATTTAGAAAAATAAAACAAGAAAATGCCATTGACAAATAAAATAGATAGATAGAAGACCGAACTATTACAAAATAAACAAAATTGATTAAGAAGCACGCACCATAACCTGCAGTGCACACAACTCAAATACTTGATATAAAAAATTAAATAAAAAAAAACCAATGACCAAAATGAAAATGAAAAAAAAAAAAAAAAGGTATTTATAACGAAATCGAACTTAAAACGCACATAATAAAATTACAACACGCCCTGTGCAAACAAGTGTACAAATTATTTCTCATACCCTACAGTTGAATACAAAGTTGCACCCACCACAAATAGCAAATGCACACAGCAATTGAATTTGCACACGCTCAAACCCTATTACGCAACCACCACCACCCCGCCTCAAACGGTGAACAAACACACCACCTCCGACTAAAATAAATTATTCTTCTTAAAAAAAACGCGCGAACAAAATCACCAACCACCCATCACCACCATAAGCAAACATAGACGGATGCATACAATAGCAAATTTAAACACACGCAGTACATATGTCACGTAATGCTAAATTAAATACTACAATTCAACGTAATGCAACAACATATCACCACACACGCACACACCGACATATCCATTTTCACTTCAGGGAAGCCATACTTTCACTGCACCGTGAGAAAAAACATGACCATTTCACATCGGCCAGTGGAGTTGCACACACAATAACTAACAACGCAAAACTAAGGCCAGTGGATTTACACACACCATCAAATGCTCGGACTAAAGAACAGACTCCAATACAAAACTATTTCGAAAACACATATATGAAGTCGTACGCACGAATAGACCAAACGCACGAAAAAAGAACTCCAAAACATTAAAAAAAAAATAGCTACAATTAAAGCAACAACTCACACCTCCATTGTCGTACCCCCACCACCCCATCGAAAATCACCACAACGACACCACCCACATCTCCCCCCCCCCCCCCCCCCATTAACCGGCTAAATACAAGGACATGCAAATACCTTAGAGCCCGGCCAACGCCATTACCCAGCAAAATAAAAAAAAAAAACAAAGAAAGCCCAGCACAATACGGAATAAACCCCGGACAAATAAGAACAGGATGCACACGCTGAAATCCTATAACGCACCCACCGCTTACTAAACATTACGGCAATCACACACCACTCGCTAAACATAAAGTCCTTAAAAAAGCAACAAAAAAAAAATGTGTAGAAACCATTACCCAGGCATCCAAAACACAAAAAACTTAGAACCCTAACATCCCGCTACAATCCACCCACCCAAACATACCAGAA